CCCAGTAGCAAACGCTGGCGGGGTTGTGGGGAAAGAGGAACTGTGCTCTACTGCTGGTGGGAGTGTAGACTGTACATCCACTGTAGAAATCAGTATGCAGATACCTCAAAGAACTAGGACTGGAAGTCCCATTTGACCCTGCTATTCCCCTGCTGGGTATCTTCCCAAAAGAATTAAGACTGCCACAGCAATATATGTACACCCATGTTCATAGCAGCACAGTCTGTCTTGGAAACAGTGCAACTGCCCATCAACTGGAGACTGGATAAAGATGTGGATTTTAACAAACTAGAATACTACTCAGCCATAAAGAATGAGAAATTAAAGACATTTACAGCTAAATGGATGCACATTGAGGTCGTACTCTCAAGCGAAATAAATAAGCCACACAATACCAAATAGTTTCTCTGGTGTGAGAAACTTAAGGGCTAAAAGGTAGAATAGATAATGTGAAATAGGAAGAAAAAGTGCAAAGGGGAGGGATAGGGGAAAGGAAAGAAAGAAGGGAATGGAATTAATATGAGAGAAGGAAAAAATGGAAACAAGTCTTTGTAAATAGGGAGGGATGCAGAGGTTTAAGGGAGAGCAGGGGAATGGGGAAAAAATAAAAACCCAGATATATAAAGGTACAAATATTCAATGATGAATGTCATATTATATACCTGAAATGTACCAATAAAATTAACTTTAAAAAAAACAGAACTAAACAAACCCTTATATAGAGCTCATCAAAATTGCAAGATACATGATCAACAGAAAAAAACAAAATAAATGGTACACACAATGAGAAAAAAAAATGGTACCACATACAACATCACTTCCTTATTTCCACCTACTAATGTAACTCTCTGAAATCCAAAAACTTTCTTACCCGTAGGTGGTAAAAGAGAACCCCAGTTACGGTTCTACAATCTGACAAGGGTCCATGCCTAGAAAACATTTTGAATATTACTATCCAAATGCTCAGATATTGTCAGAGGCTCTTAAACACTGAAAAGAAACAATCCCAGCTATACCAGACTGTATGACACCAGCTTGTAAAAATCTAATACTTTAACAGAAGCCAAATATGTTCCAGTGGGCAAACTCATGTTCGTCTGTTGGGCATGTCAAGTTGACAATAACTGATGTTGTTTTAAAATAGCGAATGAATTTAGAAGCCATAGAAACAGACTGGATTTCTTAACCTTCTTAAATATCTCTATTGAATCTGGACATCACACAAATAGAAAATATCTGATATCTTGATGCTACTCAAAGAAGTTATTTTCTTAAAGAGAAGTGGACAAAAAAAAAAATCATCAAAGCTACCAGAAATAAAATATTCCCATCATGAACACCCTACTTTATCAAGTACTAGAGAGATAAATCTGCGCAAAAGTTCAAGGAATCCATCACAGATACACAAATATCTTGCCTGCAGTTTTGAAAAAAGAAAATTGAGTACTGAATTGTAGGACTCTGAGATCGGATGTGACAAAGCCAGAAGAGCTCCTGGTCATACCAGACAAAACCCAATTTGGACACTTGTTCATTTCTTCCATAAGATAACTGTCTTAGTTACTTTTCTTGTTACTGAGACAAAATACTCAATACCCCAAATTAAAGGAGGAAAGGTTCATTTAGCTCACAGCTTGTAGAGATTTCAGTTCATAACCAGCTGCCTCCAGGGCCAGGCGACATGGCAGAGTGGCCTCACACAGGAGCAACAGTTCATGGCAGGCAGGAGACATCAAAAGCTACAAGTAGCAAGCAACAGCAGCCTTCTTCCTTATATTTTATTCAGGCTACCCACCCTTAGGGCAGGGAGCACTCCTACCCTAACCCTGTCACTGCACCACAAATCAACTCCCACATCACACCCTTGATCCCAGCATCACACACCCTAGATCCAGCCACCTCTGAAAAATCCCACCTATAACTGCATGAGGCTTTGGAGAGACATCTAGATACAAGGCATAATTAATAACTCATCTTGTAAGAACCTACTATTATATTAAACAAATGGAGCAAGAGAGGTTCTCAGCTCAAAAGATATGATTACCCTAGAAGGTAAAAATCTTTTTTTTTGGTACCAGGGACCGAACTCTGGTCCTCGAGCTTGCGAGGCAGGTGGCTGAATCACTGCGCTAAAGCCCCAGCCTCAAAGTCTTAAAGAACAAGATTACAAGATTATTCACGGTTAATTATAAAGCTATCTTACAAAGAAAAAAATACTACAATTAAAACAGAGAGATGGAATGGAAGAGAACAGAACCTAGAAACCAACCCACACATACATGAGGATTTAAAAAGGTGAGATAGAAAGCACTAAAGTCAATGAGAAAAGAGTATACTACTTATAAATTATGCTACAAAATTAGCTATCAATATAGAATGAGATATTTTTTTTGTTTTTTAGTTTTTTGAGACAGGGTCTCACTATGTAGTTGAGACTGACCTGGAACTCACTATGTAGTCCTGGCTGGTCTCGAACTCACAACGATCCTCCTGCCTTGCCTCCTGAGTGCTGGGATTACAGGCATGCGCCACCAGAGAATTCTATCTTACAATAGTCACAAAAGTTAATTTCCAGTGAATTACACAAATTTGTAAATTTAACTTCTAGGACAAAATATGATAAAATTGGGCCAGGCGTGGTGGCACACACCTGTAATCCCAGCATTTGGGAGGCTGAGGCAGGAGGACCTCTGTGAGTTCGAGACCAGCCTGGGCTACATATTCCAGGTCAGACTCAACTACATAGTGAGACCATGTCTCAAAAAACAAAACAAAACAAAAAAGATAAAATTTATTTTTACATCTCAGAGGAATAGCAAATGTTTAAAACCTGACCTAAGCAAAGGCTCAACATAAAGAAAAAAGATGATCAATGTGATTAAACTTAACTAAAAAATTCTGTAACATAAAGATAGTCACAGACCATCAAAGACAAGTCAGGCACTACAGGTCTCACAAAAACGAAAGCATTATAATCCATAAGAATACATGTAGCCAAGTAGAAGAAAAACAGGCATAGATACTGACATCAACATCATGAAATAATGAACAATAACTATCAATAAAGCTTAGGTCTCTTGGTAATGGAGGAAACATAAATTAAAACAAAGAGCTACCATTTCACAGTTCTCCAAGTGGAAAATTTACAAATTTTCATAAAACTAAGTATTGGTAGGAAAGTCAGAGTTATTTCACACCACTGCTGGGACTGTAAACCTGCACACCACTTGGAAGAGCAGTTGGATACCTAAACGCACAAAATGTAAGTCAGCTGCTACCTGAGATTCCAGGGTTTCAGGCAGGCATCCACAATGTCACACTTGCATGAGGAAGAACGATAACGAACAGACACCTGTAGCACTGTTCAAAGTGGCACAGAATAACATCTGAAATGACCACAGGGGGGAGCCGGTAAATATGTACAGTACTAAACAAGTTAAGTGGAAAAGCAAACCACACAAGATTACATACAGAAGATACAGTGTCTAAAAACTTTAATAGGAAGGCATCACACACACCAACTTCTGAGTAACAGGTTAGCTCTAAGGAGGAAAGGAGGAGCACGGCGCCAGGGTGGAGTACAAAAGAGTAACATTTTATTCCTTTAAAAATCAGAAGCAAAAGCGGCAAAAGAGTATGTGAAGAGTACAAGGGAATCTATATTTTTTGTATACTTGAAGTATTTTGTAATTAAATGAATTGTAATGGGTACATATGGCACAATAAAAATAACATTGACACAACAAAAACATATCAAGTAACAACATAGTATTTAAGCCACAGAAACATATGTACATTCATTAGTGTAGGAGATAAGAATCAAAAATAAATTTTTAAATCGCAATTTACTTTGGTGTTTTAAATTAATAATTTTGTAATGAGCTTTAAATCTCATGCATTGTTTAATGTCTTATGCTAAAATTGTAAAGGCTGCTATCCTTTTCGTTAGAGTTGTGAAAGCTATGTAAATGAAGCTTTAATGTGGTGTTGTGAATTTCACTCTCATATTAGAAAGCTTTTTCTTTAGCAGGCTTTACAATTATACTTACCAATCTTAAAGAAATACATTGAGTCCTAAGTATGAAGAGTAGTTATTTAATTGTAACTACTTAATTATAGTGCTTCATCAAGAACCAATAGCCTATTTTTACCATGGGAAAAACAATTCTCTATTATTCCATTTTCTTTGCTATTTGGGATTTGCATCAGAAGCCAAGAAGTATCATTAACTGGAAAGGTTATAAACAAAGTTTTATTATAAAACCTCTTTTAAAGGAAAAGTATGTAATTTTCAGAAGGGAGGAACATAACCCTTTGGGATCACAATGTCAGAGACATAGAGAATATTTTCAGAAAGGGATTAAGAAGAGGTAGTAGAATTTTGCTATATGTACTTTGTTTACTTACTCTTTGGGCCTCAGGGCTAGAAGACAGTATGTATTACCCCCAAAAATTTAGAATACAAACAAAAGTGGATAGGCCACTGCATCTACAAATACAACTCAAGAGATCTGTAACTCACACATACTATTTCACTTTCAACTATAATCAATGCATGATCACATTCACACTACTTCAGTAATAGTCATTTTACCCAGTTGATGGTAAGCAATGATTTTATTTAACAAGAGTGCTCTGTGCCAATTAAACATTTGCAACACAGATGAATAGCTGTTCTTTTAAGGAGACTAACTATATTAGATAATGTTATTTCCCATGAAATGGAAGACTGTAATAAAATTATTCTAGCTTCTAAACTTCCATACTTTTGTATTTTGGACACAATTTTTAAAGGTAATAGTGGTCTGTCCACAGGCAAGTTCTTACCTACTCATATAATTGAGCTTCTTATACTTAATCTCACTTAGTAGTAAAATCTTTAACTTTGTGGGGTTTTTTTGGGGCGGGTGGTGAGACAGGGTCTCACTATGTAGTTGAGACTGACCTGGAACTATGTAGCCCAGACTGGTCTCGAACTCACAGAGATCCTCCTGCCTCAGCCTCCCAAATGCTGGGATTACAGGTGTGTGCCACCATGCCCAGCTATCTTTAACTTTCATTTTTGAAGGCTAAAGAACATTAGTTCCCACACACCCCTAATCTAGTGTGACTTTGGCTAGTAATAGCAAAATTTGCTTGCAAACTTGAAAGCCTCCGATAACATTTTTAAATGCTGATTTTTCCATTGATCCTTAAGTTTCAGTAGTATTTATTAAACAATCAAGTTACTATTTCGTTCAAATGCCCACTATATGAAGATTGAAATAAATTCACTAACAAATTCACAACTCCAATTTCACTAATATATGGAAATAATTTCTCCACAAGCAAAAGATCAGTGTCATAAGTTTAATTTTCTGAATTTTATAACCCTTAATAAATGGAGGCACCTTAAAGTTCAGTTTTCATTCTTTTATACAGGATTTCGGAACATGCTTCAAAAAGCTTAAGATAAGCTACACTGATAGTGTGATTTTTATCATTAAAACAATCTACAAAAATCAGAACACTACTAATTTTGCTGTTATAACTAATAAATACATCTTAAAATATCTGCAGACATACACCAACTCTCTCATTCTGCCTCACACTTGGACCGTTCTAGATTACAGATCAATAAACGATGTATTTATAAGTACAGTATTTTCACAAATTTCAATTCTATAATTTAGCATTTTTAATATTTTCTTTTAAAAATACAAAGAGATTAAGCCATTAATATAAATACTTCTCTCAAATATGTAATATTCTTTTGTAAAAGAAAATGTTTCCAAACATTTACAAAGCAATCTGAAGATAGGTGAACCCGATTTTTAAGATCACTACATTCACCAAAATAATTTTCCAGAGAAGGTCCTATGTGAAAGTAATCGTCACTGGCTTCTTCACATCAGCGCTTTAAGATGGATCCAAATCCAATCAATGCCTTTGCTTGATTTATTTCAGAAAAAGGTCTCACGACAGAGTGGACAAGTGGATTTGTTGCTAGAGGTAAACCATTTGTACTGAAAAAGAAAAGGTTTTAAATGTTAAAAGAATCCCTTCAAGCTGCACCTCACATAATATACTTCTAAAGGAAATGGTACTGTGAAACAGGAAGAATACTAACATTTTTGCCTCCGGATGTATCTTCAAAATAAACATAACTAAACATTACTTCTAAAGACTACACTATGATTCCTTCTACCTAGGTTGATGCCCAAGACCACTAAGGTACAAGACCTTCTGAAGCAAGTGAACATAGGGCAATGTCCTTTTCCATGTGATGTTCAAAAACAGAAACGGGCTCTGATGGGAGACGGCCCTACTTCTGAATCTTGTAGCCTCTTTCATGGTTAGATCTCACAGGATCATCTATTCCTTGCAGGCTAACAGTGATTAAAAAGTGATTTTTAACATCTCCCATTAACTTCAATTGAGAAATTAAAATTAAGAGCGCAAAACACATGCTTTTCTTTTCCAAAGTTAAATAAATAAATAAATAAATAAATATTATATATAATTCTTGCATGTTCTACAGGCTTTTTTTGGGAGAGAATAGTTGAAACCATGAATGACAGAAAAACAGATCATGCAGTCTTCAACACCCTCAAAACGTTTGTCTACGTTATTTTTCCACAACGCTAAGCCTTCCATAATACTTCCATTCTGTTAACAAAAGGAAAAATAAAAGAATCACTGCCCACTTTCACAAGTGTTAAGTCTGAATCGTAATTCTAAGAGAATCTGCTTGGCCACATTTCACATCTCCTAAGTTTTATGAATGTTGATTTTTAAAATAATCAACATTTTAGGAACTGATGTAATTTTTCTCCATTATCAGCATCTGAGCTAATACTTCAAGTCTTGTGGTTTCAGTTTCTTTGATGAGAATCTTTTAATAATTAAATCACTTAGATCATTTTCTCCTAATTTTGAACTAAGAATTATGAAATTATCTTACCTTTTCAACTGATTTGCTCCACCTCCACAATACTGGTGAAGATACTTGTTTTAAAGTAATTTCTCTTTACTGTAGAATGCCTAGGATATGTCAGTATTTACAAATACCACTGCAGACGACTTATAATTTGCTTAAAAGTCAAAAATCTTTCAGAGTACTGAAATTTTCCTAATCCAAGAAGAGTTGAAATATCAGAGTGAGAGCTCATTAGTCCAGTATCGCTCAGGATTTTCTCTCAAACAAGTTCCTTAACACCGTGTACAATGTCAATAAAATAAAGTCAAATCTTCTCAAAAACCAGAAAATAAACTTTAAAGCCTTAAACTTTAAAGAGACACAGTAGGCTCAAGCCAGTTAGGCACATGGTGTTTATAGAAGAATTTTATTTTTTTCTATTTCCCTCTTAGCAAAAGAGACTCAGTCCGTGTCCACCTGCTCTTTGGACTAGCTCACCTCTCTCTGGTTTGGAAAGCTAACTGTGTAGGCAGACACTGACCTGATGGGTGAGGTAAGTGCTCAGCTGCAGCATCCAGTTCCGCCACTGCTGGACGGCCACGCCCACTCTCTTCCCACTCTCCACTGATATGGAACCCAGTGGGTAATTAGAAGGCAGCTGTATTATAAGTTCAATGACAATGTCCTCGATAGTGTAAGTAGCCATAACTTCTCGAGTGGTAGCTCGAGCTTTAACCTACAACACAGGACAGGTAATTTTTTCACATTCCTTTCTTTCATTCCAAACACATTTTGATAGGTTGACTCTTAGCAGCTAACAGCTTTATAACAGGAAAAAAAAAAAAAAAAAAAAAAAAAAAAAACAGGCAAACACAAGGCATTTGTTAAATAGGTTTAAGTACTTGCTGTGTTTTATAGTGATTCATGACTTTTAAAACCAACACACTGCTCATAAAAAAGTATAGTATATTACATTACATTTGTCACATAGTCGTGGGTTCATTTTTGAGCAGATAAATGACACTAAGAGTGCCAAATATCACTCCTGTGTCTACCATGTCTTTCTTATCACACAAGAATCAGAAAATAAAACGGACACATTTTACAATTCTGAGTCAAGGGCAACAATTTTGTGATGACATTCACAATGATAGATTTAATCAGTATTCAAACAACTCTTCTAGAAAAAGTTAAGACAATACTAACCGTCATGCCATTAAATAGCTGTGTACTGGTTTGCACAGAAGATATTTCTTGAAAAGAAAGGACATTGCTGACATACTTGCTTGTAAATCTGTCTACAATATTGAAAACACGCTTCTCACTACTATTCCACCACAGTCTAACCATGGCAGGCAAATCTTTTAATGTCATATGATAGACTGAACAAGCCAAGTGTGGAATGTGGTATGGCAGAGTTGACGTTTCTGAGGAAAAAACAGATTTCTTAGTGAGTGATATATACTTCTTACATAGAGTAATAGACTACTACTAGTATTTTCTTTAGAAAGTTACCCTTAATCACTCAGTAATGGCGCTGTGGCTCACACAACACACCAGAGAAATGGGGACTTATTCTAGCGTCCTCCCACACATTCAAATTGAACCATGAAATCAGCAAAAGTGAGTGAAATCCCAACTGACACAAAAAAATTCTTCCTGGAAATCACATGCCCTATTTCATCTAAAAGAACATGAAAAAAATGGAACACACATTTTTTTAAAAGAGGAAAAATTAAAGATTCTTTGTTATAAATTATGAAAAGGTGGCTGGTCTCATTTACTTCCTCCAGAGCTCACTAAGCAACTGTGCAAAAGTCCCAGAATAATCAATCACCTAAGTACTCTATCATCAGAACTCTAAAACATTTTGAAAAATGTGTGTTCTTAGCAGACTGTAATACTGTAGTAGAGCCACATGCATGCATGTCTGTATTCTCAGCTAAAATGTGAGCTCCTAGGATGAAGGATATCAGTTTTACTTATCTGTTTCCCTAACTGGAGACTACTTACTTAATTGACTACAACATGTGAACACATAACAAATACTTGTTTATAAAGCACAACATAATCTCAATACAGTAAGCTTTCAAATGTATTCAATTCTTAATTTTACCCACAACATCTAATTATTTGTCCAACTTAAAGAAATTTAGAAAAGCTTGCATTTTAACATCCTCATAGCTGGGACTCCTGTTTGAGATTATTCTCCAAATGCCCAGGAAAAGTTTAGCATAGCCTTGTCTGAACATAGTTACCAGGAAAGGTTACAAACATGTTTCTTACTGACCTCTAATACTTAGCTGGAGCTCCTCAGTAAAGAACGTTTTGGGGTCCTTATTTGAGAGCTCAAGAGCTGCCTCTCCATAGCTTGGATTTTCTGGCATGAGCCTGAACAGGTGATAAAGTAATTTGTTCAAACTCTTTGTTTTCCTAAGGTACATTGAATACAGAGCCCGAAGCTGGTGAGAGCAAAAATTTTGTTAGTAAACTCAAATCAAAAGAATCACAAAAGGGCTGAGGATTTAGCTCAGTGCCACTATGCCTGCCTCGTAAGTGCAAGGTTCTGAGTTTGATCCCCGGTACCAAAAAAAAAAAAGAAAGAACGAACCAATCAAACTATGACAAACTGCACAGACCACAAATAATAAGTGTATTACTTTGAAGACTTAGAAGAGTCCTACAAAATACATGTGGCATTCTTATTTTTTGAATTTGCCAAACAATGTGGTACTGCCTCCTTTCCTCATAAACACCTGACATTCTCACTGTCCTCTCTTCTCACTGTTGGAGCTATGCTCCTAACATCTTTTTCAAATTGTCTCCCTGTTATTACACTCACCTTGAGTTGGCACTATTTGATTGAGCCAAGAAAACGTATTCACCATTCCAAAAAGAAACTAGCTCACTCCCCTCCCTTGCAAGTCCTTAACCTTGCAACTTCCTGAGTGAAACAAACCCCGTTTTCAAAGACAACCTTATCTTACATCGAACACTGCAGCATCCTTTTAGGACAAAGCAAGAACTAGTAAATGGTCAAAGTGGTCTTGGCATATCCTCACAATTGTTTTATCAATCAGAAAATTTCATAGGAAAATATGGATTTGTTTTCTTTTAAAAACAGAAAAATGTGGCGACCCTGGAAGTACCGAGCATCTGTGTGACACTAGAGCTTTACAGCTCCTTCTTGTCCCTACACAGCAGTCTCTGAAATTCTTTGGTGTTGGCAGCTGTTAAACATGACATCTCCTAGCACAAAGATACCATTTCCTGCACCCTGTGACTACTCAAACTCAAGGATCAAGCTACAGGATTTCAAACTAATTCTTAAAACAAGTTGATGAAAATCTCTTTATAACAGAGAAATCTGAGGACACCACCTCTATGAGTAACCGAGCTTAACACTACCAATAAAAGGACACAGACATTATGTGGTTCCTGAAGTAACAATGAAGATAAATCACAACCTGCTGAACATTAACTAGAATATAATCAGTGGGAAACAATAAGACAAATCCAAACTGTACGACAGGCTATAAAACAGTCGGACAAAACAATGACAAGAAATAAAACATAGGGGAATTATAGAAAGGGTATAATTACTAAAGAAATATGACAGAAATACAAACATGAATCTTGATTCAATTCTCAACAGAGAAGGGAATAAAACTATACAGGCTATTACCAGGACAGCTAGAGAAATCTAAATATGAATGAGATATTAGTGCATCAAAATTGGGTTTCTTAATATTACGCTTATGTAGAAACATATCCTTGCTCTATCAAGTGGGTGAGCAGGAAAAACTTAATTTAGAGAAAACAAGCAAATGTGGCAAATGTTGAAAATGTATGAATCTAGAAAGTACATGGCATTTTACTGAATTGTTCTTCCAACTTCTCCAAAATTACACTTTTCTTCCCCAAATGAAAAGTTGAAAGAAAAAGAATTTTAAAACATTAACAGGTCAGGGATTTGGCTCAGTGGTGTGGCTGCCTGCCTTGCAAGTGCAAGGGCCCGAGGTCGATCCCCAGTACCAAAAAAAAAAAAAAAAAAAAAAA